GGTATGAATCCGTGTATGTGTACACCTGCTTGTTGAGACTTCCAACTGAAAACCTACATATATCGATTCAACGTTGTATTTCACTCCCCACAACAGCAAATTGCGAACTATTGATTTCAGTTCAGTTCAGTCTATACTAACGTATTTACAGGAGTGAGCCGTCTTGAAGAACTATATGTTAATAGAGAAGTCGCATATAATTTATTCTCAAGCACGGCCTGAATTTCTCGGTTGGTTGTGGCCTGTGAGTATTATGCGTCTTCATTGTACCGATTGCCACACGCTAAGTAAACTGAGCCAGCCCGCTCTGTTTGCAAATATCACAGGGTTGTGTCTGTAGACGCAGGACTAGACTCGCTACGCGCGGGCGTGCTCGAAGGCCTCGATAGCCTCAAATAAATATAAGTGTGCACGCTATTCTGACTGTTACTATGAGTACTATATATATCGCCGGTGTTTTATAATTCAGCTGCCTGTACAGTAAGTTGCGTGATATGTGGGTGTTCACAGTATACAACTACGGGCTGTGTGTCTGCGGCAGTAGAACGAGTGGCACTCTATTTGCACACGTTCTTAAACGTGTAGGTTCTATGACTCAATTCGGGTGCAATCCTCAATACCTCCGATCTTAATTCCAAATTTCTCGTCCTGTTTCCATCGAATGACACTTGTACTCACAAAACTGCTAGGCATTGGCAACTTATGTGGGCCTGTCGGTGGTTCGGAGGTGGTCATCCAATACCCTGTCCACTGATATGTGCAGGTCTCTCGTACCCGGCCTGTGTGCACAGATTCGTCCGGTGTTGTCTTCGAATGAAACATGCTCTGAGAACTGACAAGCACCGTCACCTTGCCCATGATCCAAGATCAGAAATAAATAAAACCTAATTAGAAGGCCAAGAAATAGGCATATCTGAAGCGAACTCTACACTTCTGACAGTAGCCGCACGCCTTGTGCTAAACACCATGCGACCGGGTACCCTAATACGATTCCACAGGCAACTCTCTGTGTATGATCGCCTAATATTATATCCGAAGCATACGCACGCAGGCTCTTGTCTACCATGTGGATGCCACAGATCCGATACACTTCCTCGATACTGCACAGATCCCCTAGCATCATATCGGCATCAGCAGCAAACACATAGTGCCAATGCCCCTCCAGATACAACGCATCTATGAGAACGTACACTCCACATTCTCTTATGGCGTCTCCGAGATTTTCTTCCTCGCATATAATAGTACCCATTGGTTTCCAACCGGTCTTCACAAGGGCAATGAGTTGCGCGCAGAATAAAGTCACATCCACTTTCGTATCGGATGTGTCTTCTTCACGGCCAGGCATACTTGTACATTCTTTCATTCCAGTATTAGTAGCTGTGTATATTTGTGTATGTGTATTCAGAGTTCTGCCTATGCTTTCTACAGCCTCACTGAGCCCGGAAAAGCACATGACGTGACTGTCACTGACCTGAGATCCTTCGTAATCTGAGGAGCTTGCACTTGTGTCGTCTGAGATTAGCACATTCGCATCATTATATGCGTTGTCTCTATTATGTGCCATCCCCTCGACATCCTCGTCTAAGTCATCCATGGCTTGGATGTATGCGAGTGTCTGTGTGGGTGTACACGCCCCTCCTCTAGTAGTCCGTACCTGTCCGCTGTCAGGGGTATTGGCGCACACTCTACCTACCAACGGGAGGGTCTCGTGTCTGTACCGAAAGTTGGTCAAACATCGTGAACAGCACAGTACACCTTTCTCGCAGCATGCACTTAGGTTTTCTGTGGCATTTGAGAGCTTTTCTGTGAGATTGGCATTGGCCACACAGCCCTCTATCTCAGATTGGTCCTCAGAGAGAGGGGATATATACTGTGCTATAAGCGAGTCCATGGGTATATAGTGGTGGTAGTGTGAGAGTTTACTGATCCGGTTGAGAATAATTCTCTGTGGAAGTGGTTAATCAATTGTCCGGTTATCATCCACAAGGAACAGTCGTCAGATCGATAAGAGCGTGTTGTAAAGCTATACCATAAGAGCACGTTGTATAGCTATATATTATTGTACTACAATAAATGTAAATTGGCGAAAGAATTTAAACAACATATATACGTAGAATGGTGGGTCGCTGGATCGGACAGCATGTGAGTTGTGAACTCTGGTGTGATCGCTTTCACTTTTTTTTTGAATCGAAGAAGCTGATCGTGCAGATAAGGTTTTACACGATGAAGTCGCAGTGCAGCGGCTCTGCTGCTGGTGCATTTTGTTTTTTTAGTTTTTTTATAAATAATCACCTTTTGTGTTGTGGCCAAAATGATGATGCAGATCTCTTTGGGTTTTTATATATTGTATAATAAAAGTTAAACGCAAAAAAAAAATTACATTATCGTTTTTCATTTTGTTTAAAAAAAGTAAAAAAGATACATTTTTAAAAGTGCGCACTTGAAAACTTAAAAATACATTTTTATGTACCGAGTTTTTAATAAATTTCGACGAGACACAGAATAAACGTTTATAACTCTCTACTACAAACGCCTAGATTTTGAAATGTTTCAACCAAAAACGAACACTGACGTATTGCTTCAACAACAATTGAACCAGGGTTTTAGGGTTTTAACATTACCACAGCTCTAGTCTTATATGATATTATCACATGACGCTACAATCTACGACGGATGGTCAAACAGACTACGGCAGTTCGTCACCTATATTATAAAGTACCAGTAAACAAGTTGCCAAGACAGTGTTTGCCTATCATTAGGGTCTAACCTAATCAGATATTGCTATCATGAGTTCTTCACAAAAGAAATCACCTTTTTACTTGGGTGGGATGGCAACCATGGGAGCGTGCTTGTTCACCAATCCTTTCGAGGTATGAGCTTGTAGAGGTTAAATACGAAGATCAGGATCACCTTTGGGATTTGCGGTGAAGTGTTACTTCCCAGTATTTGGGATATGTTTCATATACATATAC